AGTGACACGATCATTTTACTACAGACACCTTGCGCACACACACTAGGTCTGCGAATACCTTTGATGCATAGCAGCCACGTCTGCGGCGAAATATTCACGGCGGCGATTCGGTACCGTGATTTGCGGTACATGAAGATCCCGTCTCGCCTCTCGCCAGTGTACCCGCTACGTTCACCACTAGGTGTGGTTTTATCATCTTCCACATTCCCCTCCTCTGTGTTTCGTGGGGAGACGGTCTTCTTCCGCCTGGCTATTTTCACCATCGCCGCCATCAGGCTAGTTTCGACGACGCTGAGGGTGCGCTGGTGCCCTTCGAATAGGCGTAGGTCCGGGCATAAGCCCTGATACAGTAGTCGTCATGTGTTTCTTCACCGCTGCAGCCATAGGTGCAGGCCCATGTATAGGCCTCCGCACCTGTGCATGGTTTTGCACCCGGGCTGAGACTGTGAGTACGCATATGCGAGCTGCTGGTACCGGGATTGCGGCATCGAAGGTAAGCGGGATGGGTCGTTTGATTGTCTGCTGAATGCCAGTCACCATGAGCAAAAACTAGCTTCACTTCGAAGCGGTATTGCTAGGGATGCTGTCGATTTTCTGAGCACAGGAGTTTGCGCTTCGCCGATACTTATCGTTCCGTCGGACATCAAGACAAGCATGGGTCCTTGACTCACGTCCTGGTTAGGCTTCAAGCTCGGAGTGGTGAGTTCTCGGTTCTTTGACGATGTCTTTGTTCCCCGTAATGACTCTAGCTCATACAGATTGTACTGACGTGCGTATTTGGGGCCTCGTTCGTTACCTCTCACACGATGCTCTCAATATCAATCCCTAGCGGGCTGAGCCTGAAAGCCGAAAAGAAGTGTCTCAATCGTTGGGGAATCCTGTGGCTATGCTACTACACAACGAGACAACGAGACTGTGGGACTCTAGTAGAAATAATGAAACGGTAAGTTAAGTATCCAAAAATCGACAAACTATATATGACACGACGACGCTACTACAGATTCCTTGCACACCTATTCCAGGCCTGGAAACTCTCGTGAAGATGAACTACGTCCTGCGACGAAACTTTTGCGGCGGCATTTGGTCGTCGTACCGTCTGGAGCCGGCGGGCCCCGCTCCTCTGCCGTTGCCACTAGGTCTGGACGTATCATCGTCAGGGTTCTCTTCGTCATCGTCTTCTCTGCGCCTCTTACGTGGGCGGTCTTCTTCCTCCTTGTCATCCTCAGCTTCGTCATCGTCTTGCTGACCTCTGCGGCGTTTCAGATGTGCTGATGCTTGTTGGGCAGGTACAGGCCCGGGAATAGGCTCTGGTGCAGGAGTAGGTGCAATAGTCGTCGTATGCGTATTGACGGTTTCAGCTATAGGTGCAGGCCCATGTATAGGCCTTTGCACCTGTGCGTGGTCTTGCACCCGGGCTGTGACCGCGAGTGCGCCTACGCTAGCTGCTGGTGCCGGGATCCCGGCAACGATGGAAGGTAGGGGTGGTCGTTTGATCGACTGCAGGGTGCCGTTTACAACGTCCAAAAATGAAGTTGCCCTCTGAAGAGGACGTGGCGGTCTTAGAGGTTGCTGGAGAGGCTGAGTGTTGCCCTGAGCGGGCGGTGGCGCGGGAGCTTGCGGCGCGCTGGCGGCTGTCGCCTCAGGACCCGCCGGCTGTGAAGACGGGCCTTCACCTTGGTCACCACCGTCGTCGTCATCGTCAGGCGGCGGCCCGTCGGTACGGGGTGCCACAGGCTCTCTGCAAACTCGATGAGACAGGCGTAATGCAGAAGAACGTGAGACTTGCCTGGATGGTTCCCTATTGTGCGCGTCATTGTCTTTGTTGCTACCGTCGTTCTCGTCCCTCGTCTCGCTTGCTGGACCAGGGCCACCTGCTCCCGGTCCTCCGTCATCTCCGCCGTCGTTGCTGTCGTCCGAGTCGTCTTGGGCGTCATCCTCCTCGATAACGTCGTCGTCTGACTCGCTCGACTTGTGGTCCCACTCGTCTTCTTCCTCGAACTCGTCAAATCCGCCGGGGAGATGGTCCGTGCGAGTCACGCCCTCGCACGCCTTTTCCAGGGCCGCGTCGCCAAATTTATCATCGGCCGAGGAGACCTTTCTGCCCGCGAGAAGTTCAAGTACATCTCTCCACTGTGGCCCTCTCATCCAATCTGGAAGCTTGATATTGGACGGGACGGGGTTTTCCGACTTGTACTTCCCGTGTAGGAGGCCCGGCTCACGCCTGAGCAACGTAAGGAAGTCCCGCTCTATAGTCTTGCGCCAGTCCTGGATGTCCTTCAGCTCGTCGTTTGCAGACTGTAGATCCTTCTTGGCAATATCCAGCAGCTCCGACGCCTCCTTGATCTGGTCTTCGAACCCCTCGAACCCGTCTATGATGCGGGTCATTTCGCGCTTGATTTCGCGAGCTTGCTTGTGCGTCGCGCCTATCACTGGGTGGGCCTCGTGCACTGCTGTTGCCCATCCCAAGGGGTCTTCGTTGAACTTCGAAGGCCCTGCAACATTCGCTCTGTGAGCCGGATCCGGATAATCGTACGTATCCTGGGGCCCATATGCATACTGGGGGCCGTACGTATCCTGGGGCCCATATGCATACTGGGGGCCGTATGCGTACTGGGGCTCGTACGCGTACTGGGGCTCGTACGCGTACTGAGGTTCGTACACGTCCTGGGGCTCGTACATGTGCTGAGACCCGTACGAATACTGAGGCTGGCACGAACCCTCAGATTCGAGATCGGGTTGGGGCTGGGCCTCATATTCGGGCATCGCAGGGAATTGTAGGGAACGGTTACCCCAAGATTCGCCAAGAGAGCTCAATTCAGGCTCCATTGAGTCCCGCGAGGAGGGTGTTCTGGGCCTGGGCGGAGACGGGTGCCTTGGTGGAGGCGGCACTCGATGCTCTGAGAGAGGTGTAAATTGTCGCCTTGGTGGAGAGGGAACTCGATCGACCGGGGAAAGTGGTCGCCTGTAATCTCCCCATACGCTTCCGTTGCCGCCTTGCGGCGCGAGCTGACCACTCGAAGTACTTTCGCCCCGAGTATCTGCGGCTACACTCGCGGATTGGATACGTTCCGTGACCCCAGAGGCCCTAGCCCAAGCCCTGTCCATCAACTCCTTCATTCCAGGGCTAATCGGCTTGATATCATCCAATTGCACTGGAGTACTCCAGTCGATTTCTAGTCGGCCCTCAGGGTCACTCTCCCGGCCTTTAGCATGAGCCGACCCTTGGCTGGTGTGGTCTGCCTCGAAGCGCGGTCGCCCGGGAGAGCGAACACACTTGCTGCTCGTTGGCGACGACACCACGTATTCTGTGGTAGGAATCCGCTCTTCTCTAAACCGGTCACCTGGAGAAGGAGACTGCGAATCGTGTCGCCTGGGCGACATACCATGTACGTCGTCTGGGTGCGACAATACCGCGTACGGTTCCTCTCCTGGGACCGAGATATGCTCTTCTCGAGACGGGCCATTTGGACGAGACTGCGAGTCGGGTCGCCTGGGCGAAATAGCACGTATACCGTCTGTTTGTGCCAACACCACGTAAGGATTCTCTTCTGGAGCTGGGGCCTGCTCTTCTCCAGACGGACCAGTGGGGGGAGGAGACTGCGACGCACTACGCGCTGTATTGTCTTCGGCTACATTCGTTATCTGGGTTACCTCCAACGGCGGTGGCGTAGTCTCTGGTTCTTTGCCTTTGTTCCCGGCGCGTCGACTCGACCTTCTCAGAGGAACTGCTGATGAGGAACCAGCACCTGTTGCACTAGTCAGACCGTAACATAATTAGCAACAATCTCGTCATACCGCTCTCTTCCTGTCTTTGTCCGACCTTCTGCTGTGCCTGCGTGTGGGCCTTCTTTGGCGACGCCTTCGCCTTATAATTTTTTCTGTGCCCCACGCGTCAGCGACTCAGGACCGTTCATGACTCGGGGAAAACACACCTCGGCACGCCATCAGGGAACTTCTGGATCAGTTCAGAGATGATATCCGTGCTTTTTGCGTTTGCACGGATTCCATGGTACTACAGAGAACATGAATACGCGGATCAGCGAGTTCCGTAGCCGATGGAGGCAGAATAACGGCGACTCACTCGTGCGAGGTGTTGAAGGCGGAGACGTGTTAAATTCTGTAAGTCGTTTACATCCATGCTCGTAGCTATCGCGTTGTAGTAGACGATGGGGAGATGTGTCTTGCTCGGGGCAAGGAGATGGTGGGGAGGTACAAGAGTTGAATATGTTTGTATTCGGTAGCGCGCAAACGTCTTTGTCTGCTGTGGCCATGCTCCGAACGGGATGTATTGTTTTGTGCCACTCGTCTGCGGCCCAAGCCAACGGCGTTAACCTATTCGGCGGATACCAAGGAATCCGCGGAAAAGACCGCAGCGACACCTATTCACGATACTGTTGTAAGTGCGAGAGCGTCGCCGTTGTGCAGTTATGCAAACATCCACCGTAGGCCGTAGTAGACGCAGCATACATTCCAGGTCTTTGCTACTGTAGGTTTGACAGTGTACATGTGTAGCTTGGGCGGTGCGCCATTGTGGAATGACCTCTCGCAGAATCAGCTAGCACACCTGGAGCATGTATGTCATTCAATGATGTTATCACAAATAAACTAAATACCTCTGATACTCCTGCGGTCGTGAACCGCTACATAGTAGTAGTAAAGAGAAGAATGCGAACAGGCTTGAGCAGGACGAGTATTTTTTTACACTACACCAACACCAGGGGCCAGGGGTTCGAGCCCCTCTGTTGCTACTTTATGGCATGCACAAATCGCACTGGTTATACTCAGCCCTTACTAAACCTCTAAGCCCGGAGCCGTGACATGGTTAGAAGGTAAAAACGATAGCATGTCGTTCGAAACTTTGTCATAGGTGAGAAAATGACAGCTATATCACGACTTACGAAATTGCGTAACGAATTTAGAACGGTAAACAGAAAAAATTTCAAAGAATTTAGAAAGAAAAAAAAAGCAAGTGATTTTAGTCCAGGCGCACGAAAAAGGTATGACGAGAAGGGGATTCGAACCCCTGCCAGCTGACGCTGATGAGAAACCGGACTTAAGCCGGTAAGCTTGCGCTTGAGTCACACACCTTAGACCACTCGGTCATCTCGCCATACGATTGACTACGGCTCACGCTGCTGACCCAGGTGCTCTTTGCCTCGTCACATCACGTTTACATAGCTTGTGACACCTACTGATTTGTCACGCATCGTATCTTTAGCGCGGCTCAGTTACTACGATTGCTACACGGTCGCACGACTCGCAAGACTTGGCTTTGAGCTAGAGATGAAATTGGTAGGTATCTCTCTAGTACCTTTGATTAAGCTCGCTGATGGCAAGGCTCACATTTTCAGGGGCATGACAGACTCACTGCTCAACGCTTCTTAGGCTTGTCTTAGTAGGCTCAGAATTGACCGCTGTAGGCTTGCCTAACTATATCATGTCGCGTATCGAGGGCTCAAGAGCTTCCTTTACATTTTAACGTAGGCACCATGTGCTCGACTGGCAGATCCGAGCTGCGCTCGGAACGTTTGACAAGATTGGATTACGACTTTCTCTACGCGCAGCCCAAATGTCTGTGTCGTTGAACCTTGTGTCGCCACCTCCCGCCAGTCTGACCCTCGCCCCGAGCTTCGAACGGACTAACATGCTGCTTGAAGGCTGGCCTCTAGATGACAGGATTGAACGTTATACGCTGTACTGACTACTACGTTTCATTTGCCAGAAAGGCATATACCTATGCGGACTCAACTGCAAACATCAAGTCTCTTGCCAACGAATGTTCCCGCCTGCGCATTTCACGCGCATGTTACAGGTGCTTCGTGGAAGAAAGCGACTAGACGACACCGTTGAAAGATCAACGGACATGGCAGCCCTTGTGTGATATTGTCCATTCATTGGGATATCTCTTCACTGCGCAGAAGTCGCTTCAAGTAGCCTGCCGACACAGCTGACCAAATTTTCAGACCCGTCAGCTGTTATCGGCGTATGAGGATGGGACATACTTGACGTGATGGCATGCGCAGCTCTGGACGTTTGTGGGCTCGTGGTCGCTGACTGCGGTCGCTGTCCATGAAAAATTCGTAGCGCCACCCTACAGCCCTCTAGATGTCGACAGTTCCCCTATATAATGAGCTTCAATCTGCAACATGGTATTTTCACCGTTCAATATGCATTGGCTGAACTTGGCAAGATTGGCCGTGTATCGTGAGTCTCTACTTTTTCCTCATAAGACTCACCTAAATTTCGCCTTTGACAGTTGCTGTTACTGCTCTATCGGCGTTATCTCTCGTGCCGAATTTTCGACTTGGGTCAACGATCTCTCAAGTGAAGGAGATACTCTTTCCAGCGGTATTTTCGCTATCCTCTACCTTTGCTTCGGCTGGCCTTGCCGCGGGCATATTGACTGTGGTGTTGCTTCCAATCCTGTGAGTATCACAGGCCGCGTCTCGTTATGCATCCGTTGAATCCAGTAGATACATCACAAGCTTCTTCGTCCGCAATAACGTCAAAGCCGGTCTCGTGTTGGAGCTCATCTGTCTCGGTATGTATGGCCCTCCGCTTCGACTTCTGACTCGCAATTGATTCTGCGTAGGTATCGTTTGGATAGTCTGGACTGTCGCAATGGGCATGACGGTGGACGGATCACATACGATTGCCGCGATGTGCTCCTGGCCCGACGACTTCATTGACGGTCACAGGGGAGATGTGTGCAGCTGGGTCCATCTCACTGAGAAGCTGTCGATTATCATTCTCGTCCTTCGTAAGTACCTAACGTAGTCCTTGACAGTCCACTGAGAAATTTTACACCACAGTATTTTTCTATATGTGCGCCCTTACCTTTGCTATACGGAAGAATTCGAGGTCAAATCTCGTGTTCCCTCTTGCGTCGTCTCCGCAATATATCACGCAAGTGCATTCTGATTCAGCACCCATGGTCCCGGCGCATCCAGCGTCGGTATACTTGCCTAAGTCAGATTTCGCCGATTTATGGATGAAAGGCTCAGACGACAATCCTCCGATCTACTCTACGCAGTAAGCACGGACTCACATACAGTGGATAGGATGGCATGATCACACGGTTAGAAGATGGTTTCGAAGAAATGCGTGTCATTTTGTACTCTACCCGAGTATGAACGAGATTCCCATTTACCTCAAAAACAAAGATTTCGAGTCTATTTGTCATAGGGGCGGTAAGATCTGCGACGCTAATTCACTCAAAGGCCTTGCGAATGACATGCAGATAGCTGGCGATCGCGGTGAGCACGGTGTATTGTAGTTGGTGCACAATGATATTCTGACGTCTAGCCTAGTCCGTTTTGACTTTTTGTACTAGGTAGGCTAGTAGGCCCGTGCATACAAACACAATAAAATAATGGACGACCTCAGGTGCCACTGGGAGCCGGCGCTCGTGCGGTCATTGTGTTTTCGATCAAATGTGGCCAAGGCGCCTTTGTCGCGTCCACCTTCTTGTCCAGCACCTCTTCATCGAACCACCACCACGACTTCCTTACGAACCATGGACACCCCTCAAGAACGCGATACCTTACTCCAAAACTCATATCGCGAGCTACAGAAAATAGCGAAGGTAGTGTTGGCCAGTTCGCAATTAAGACATTGTCTAAAATGTGTGTATCTCAGAAAGCTGGCATTAAAGCGAATGGCCCCAAGCCTGAGCTCGTAGACGAGATACTTGCAGCCCGGCGCGCCGCTAACGGAACGATGTAAGACGCCTCATTGGGAGGAGAGACAGAAGCTGACATATTACCCAGAAGCTCTGCAGATATACCCAGCGTCGATGATGCACAGTCTTCCGCGGATCATGAAGTGACCATAAATCAGGAAACTAGATATAGCTCTGGCTCTGATCTCGTTCGCAATATCTACACAGAAGGAAGACTTGTCACTCCGCTACTTCTCGGTGCTGATAGTAGGCAAATTCCTGATGAGGAGTCTAATTCAATACACCAACTCTCGCCACACCTATCGAGTTCGCACCACGCTCATCAGCCCTTTGGTGAAGGTATCTCGCTTGATTGCGGTTCATCCCCAAATACGACTTCGCCACCTCGACCGTCTCGTAAGGAGCCGCTGTTCTTGCCTTCTCCGACACCCCCGTCCACGTCACGGAATCATTCTCCACCCTCAATGCATGGTGTTCTTCATTCACAATCCTCGGTCCAGGGACATATTGTATCGGGCCGTGCCTCCTCATCCAGTGCATTACTGCTCGAACTATCTCATCACGAGCAAGGGCCGACGGTCGACCAACTGGGTTGTCCAGCATCCGTGCGCCCAGAAATCACTGCTTCTCTCGCCGAAAACGGGCAGCCGCACGCTGAGAACCTCCTGCCATCTCATAGCAAGCCCCGTAGTATGAATGCCGCGCCACTTCGTTCTATCCAGCCAACATTCAAGGCCCGTCCTGTGAGCACCACATCTGTACCCGAAAATCCTCCGCCACTTCTTGCGCCTAGAGGAATTAGACCGCTACCGACCATCTGTCAAGTTAACGAACTGGCTGACCGCCGCACGTTAGAGAGGTCACTTGCACCTGCTCCGGAAACTCCTCAGCCAAACTTTCGAACTATAGAAACTGGTTCAGCTATCGAGCCCGAGGTTGTGGAGGAGCTGTATGATATAGAGCCTGCCCTCGATGAAGCAAATGATCAGGAGAATATCGACAACCCTGCAGGCGACATAGCGGAGCCATTGAGTAGATACGATCTTGTCCCATACTTCGCTCGTCCCAAGGATTGCTGGGACTACTATGAGGACAAAGACCCTGCTCTGGCGAGAACCGCCAGTAAGGAGATCCTGACAAAGACCGTTGCAGACATGGAGACGATTCATCGGAGACTCGTATACTACTCTCACCACGCCCGGCAGGCAAGGCGAGAAGTCAAAGCAGTACTCAGGGCGGCGAAAGTGACACGAAGGCTCTTTCACCAAGAGAGGGCGAATACGGACAGAACGCGGACGTTCGCGTTGCATTATCGACCCGTACCCGATAGATGGTCTGTGAATGACCTGTGGGGATGGCCAATGACGCTGGAAAGAAAGAAGGATGGGGAGTTGGTGGAATTCGACCCAGAAGAAGAGAATGACCCCGAGACCGAGGACGAGGATGATCATCAAGACAGAGACCAAAAGACGAAGCCGGAGCCCGGTCCCCCCGCCGGTCCTTCGAGACAGGCACATGCAGGCCACGCCGGCCCCCCAGACGTCTTCTTGCCTGAACATGAACTCCGGATCTCTGACATTCCAACGGATACACTGACGCCGCCATTTCCGTCGAAGCCCAGTTCTCCGTTGAAGCGAAGCGCCCCGTTCGCTGTCTCGAAACGTAAGGCCGCTACTGCGTTTACTGGATCAAGTGCAGAGAACGGACACCCTTACAAACGGCAACGCCAGGGAGACGCCGTCGTTTCAGTGCAGTACGGGGACGACGCAGATGACTCCTTGATACTTCTTGAATTCACCGATGATGTGTATGATGAAGATGCCGATGATGCCCTGGACGAAAAGACTGTAGAGTCTGCAATCTTCCCGGATTCTGACCGCGAGAACGAAAACTCGGACGACGAAGGACCTATTCTACCTGACAGCATACCGCTCATTGGGCCCGGGGCACATCGTAGGAGGTTAATGCGAGCACCTGTGTATACCAAATAGCAACCGTTCAGGCGGTATCGATGGCTGCCTCTCCAGTTCGTGTTATCCTAATCCAAGTATTTATATTACATGATTCCTTTGTCTTTGTAATCGTCCTTTCCCGTACGAAGTGGGTTATGCATGAAGGAAGTATAACATGAGCGGGCAGAAACGCCTTTCCAGGGTTCCCTGAGCCGGGTTACATGGGTATCACGGGCTCAAAGTATCTCCACGTCCTGAGCTCTGCTCGAGAACCCTTATTCTGCCATCCAGGGTATTGCGCACACATCCGTACCGCCACGATACTGCCAGTTTTGACGTCTTGCCATATATCATCGTCCATCGCGAAGATCGGTCCCTCTCGACGTCCTTCTGGTTTTTCCATAGGATTGTGATGTGAATAGCGCCAGTGACCATCATCCCTGTCGTTGAAATAGTTCTGAATATCCGCTGAGATCC